GAGAGTAAAGGTTAAGGCTGTTGAAAGAAGTTGGGAGATGTTGGGAGGCAGGAGATGTTGCCCAGTAGGTATGTAAGGGGGGACAGCTGTGTAAGTGCAGGAAGAAAGGGAAATGCAAAGCCAGCAATTGTTCACAAAGGAGGGATTAGAGATGGCTGGGAGAAGGTGAGTGAGACTGATAGTGTGGTGGAGATAGCTGGGGAGAGGGAGAGGGTGGCATAAGCATGGGAATGAGAATAACAGTGAGTATAAAAGTAAAGAATAGGACTTCATCAGGGTGAAAGTATTGGAGTGTGCCCTGCCAGCAAAGATCATCTATCCACTCTAAGAGGGAGTCAAGAGTGGCAGTTTGGCGATAGGAGCAGGAGATATCAGCTGTGATGGTTTGGAGAAACAGTGTAAACCAGCAGTGTAAACAAGAGCAGGGCATTTATGAGTAGTTGAGAATGGTGACTAGAAGTATGACTAGACAGAAGATAGTAGGGATGACAAGTTTTTGGAGCACAATCCAAGTAGTGGGAGTGACTGCGTAAAGCCCTGTTGCAAAAAGTAGGGTGAGGATGAATAGACCTAATAGAATGAAGGGACATATTAGGCTTATAAGAGTTACTCATGTTTTCAGAAATGTGAGTGAGTTTAAAGGAAGTAGGGGAGAGTACTTGTGACTTCCAGGAGAAAAAGGAAAGATCAGGCTTGCTGTCTGATAGACACAGCTTTATTCTGGAATGGTGAACCCAGTGGAGAGGGTCCTGCAGACGGACAGCAGTTGGGGTGCTATAGATCACTAGGTAGGGTCCAGTCCATTGAGGCTATAGAGTTTGAGGGGTCAGACTCTCTTTTTTTTTTTTTTTGAGACGGAGTCTCCCTCTGTCGCCCAGGCTGGAGTGCAGTGGCCGGATCTCAGCTCACTGCAAGCTCTGCCTCCCGAGTTCAGGCCATTCTCCTGCCTCAGCCTCCCGAGTAGCTGGGACTACAGGCGCCCGCCACCTCGCCCCGCTGGTTTTTTGTATTTTTTAGTAGAGACGGGGTTTCACCGGGTTAGCCAGGATGGTCTCGATCTCCTGACCTCGTGATCTGCCCGTCTCGGCCTCTCAAAGTGCTGGGATTACAGGCTTGAGCCACCGCGCCCGGCCTGAGGGGTCAGACTCTTAACAAGAACTGATCGTTCAGCTAGGGTGGCTTCACATGGCTGGAAATCTGGAGGAGGCAAGAGAAGATTAGCAGCCTGGAGAATTTCCTGTCTAGCTTGCTGGAGGACTGCAAGATAGTTGCCCAGAGGGCCAGTGTCTGGAGCAAGGTTGGGGCCAAGCAAGAAATTGAGTCCATATAAAATTTCAAATGGACTGTACCCTGTAGCATCTTGAGGGCAGGCCTTAATTCTGAGAAGGGCAAGTGGAAAGAAGTACTGTCAAGTCCTTTTTAAGTTGGAAGCTGAGCTTGGTGAGGTTTGTTTTTAAAAGATCATTAGTTCTTTCTACCTTTCTTAAAGATTGAGGACACAAGGGGTTATGAAGTTTCCACTGAATATCAAGAGTCTAAGAGACAGCTTGGGTGATTTGACTAATAAAAGCCGAACCATTATCAGACTGAATAGAAGTAGGGAGGCCAAATCAAGGAAGTATATCTGCTAGAAGGGAAGAAATGACTGCAGTAGCCTTTTCAGAGATAGTGGGAAAGGCTTCGACCCATCTGGTGAATGTGTCGATCCAAATCAGGAGATACTTAAATTTACAGAAATGGGGCATAGGAGTGAAGTCAATCTGCCAATCTTGTGTTGGAGTAAATCCACGAGCCTGATGTGTAGGAAAAGGAGGAGGCCCAAGAAAGCCTTGGGGGCTGGTGGCATAGTAGACACAGCATTGAGAGGTGATGGTCTTAAGGATGGATTTCCATGAAGAGAAGGAGATGAGGGGCTGCAGGAGGCGAGTCAGAGGCTTGTATCCCACATGGAAGTGGTCACGAAGGGAAAAAAGCATGGACTGAGCTTGTGAGGCAGGAAGAATGAATTTTCCATGATTTAAGAACCACTTGCCCTGAGTTGCAAAAGACTGGAAAGGCAGGTTTTCAGAAGAGTATGTGGGAGTGATAGATGACGAAGAAACATGCTGGCCCTCTGGAGTGGGAGGTGGAATATTAACGGGTGTGGAGTCATTGGCTATTTCTTTTGCTGTCTTGTCGGCATAGGCATTTCCTTTTGCAATAAGATAAGCAGGTTTCTGGTGTCCTTTACAATGAATGACTAAAGGCTTGGCTAGCAGGAGAGCAGCCTTAAGGAGGACCTTTATTAGGGAGGCATTGGTAATGGAAGAGGTTTGTGTGGTAAGGATGCCTCTTTCAGCCCAGATGGCAGCATGGTTATGGAGGATGTGCAAAGCATATTTGGAGTCAGTATAAATGTTAATGTGCATTCCCTTAGCGAGAGAGAGCACACGAGTTATAGCAATCAGTTTGACTTGTTGGGAAGTGGTGGAGGGAGGAAGTGCAGCAGTTTTGATAATAGAGTCGTGGGACACATCAGTACATCCAACATTAGCTGGTGACAATTGATTGGGTAGTCTGAATTTTGAATTGGAAGAATATAAATATGAGGAAAGGAGGAAGATGCTATGTGTATCAGGGAAATACAGTAATGTGGTTGAGGACTTGTGTTGGGTACTAAGTGAGAAGCTGGGTTGAAATCATGCCCATGGCCAATAGTTACTGTTGGGGTTTCAATAAAGAATGAATAGAACTGGTGGAGTCGAGGAGCAGATAGTTAAGTGTGAAAGGTGTAAGGAGGATATTAATGCTTGAAGGTTATGAGAACGGTAGAGGGTAGGTGGAGCATAGCTTGTGAGTTTGAGGGCTTCCAGAAGTATTACAGCAGCAGCTGCCACTGCACGCAAATATCAGGGCCACACCAGAGTTGTGAGGTCAAGTTGTTTTTTTTCTTTTCTTTTTTTTTTTTTTTTTTGAGACAGAGTCTCGCTCTGTTGCCCAGGCTGGAGTGCAGTGGCGCAATCTCTGCTCACTGCAAGCTCTGCCTCCCAGGTTCACGACATTCTCCTGCCTCAGTCTCCCGAGTAGCTGGGACTACAGGTGCCTGCCAGCACGCCTGGCTAATTTTTTGTATTTTTAGTAGAGACAGGGTTTTACCATGTTAGCCAGGATGGTCTCAATCTTCTGACCTCGTGATCCACCCGCCTCGGCCTCCCAAAGTGCTGGGATTCCAGGCGTGAGCCACCGCGCTCAGCCAAGTTGTTTTGATAGAAAGGCAACAGGCCATGGGCCTGGCTCCTGTGTGAGGACTCCAGCAGCACGGCCTTGTATTTCAGCTGTGTGTAAGGAAAAAGGAAGGGGCGAGTCGGGGAGTGCTAGTGTGGGAGCTCGCTACAGGGCCTTTTTGAGAGAGCAAAAAGAAGAATGGGGCAAAGACTTAGGGCCTAAGGGATGAGTTAAGTTACCTTTTGTGAGCTTGTAAAGTGGTTTGGTTAGGATAGCAAAGCCAGGTGTCCAGAGTCAGAAATATCCAACAATGCCTAAGAAGGAAAGGAGTTCTTGTTCGGTGGTGGGGATTGGGGTCTGGGAGATTAACCGAGCACGGTCTGCAAGAAGGGTGTGTGTATGTTGATGGAGGATTAAACCGAGATAGGTAACACCAGGGGAAGAAATTTGGGCCTTGGAGGGGGATACTCAGTACCGCTTTGAATAGAGATGTTGAAGAAGCAGGATAGTGTCCTGCTGGGAAGATTGGTAAGAGGGGCTGCAAAGAAGAACATCAAACTATTGAAAAGGTGGGAGGCAGATGAGTGAAAAGAAAGCAGACCATGAGAAAGGGCCTGGCCAAAGTAGTGTGGGCTGTCCCTGAAGCATTGGGGCAAAACAGTCCGGGTGAGTTGTTGGGATTGGTGGGTGTCAGGGTCAGTCCAAGTAAAGGCAAAAAGAGGCTGAGAGAAGGGATGCAAGGGAATAGTAAAGAAGGTGTCTTTGAGGTCAATAACAGAATAGTGAGTTGTGGAAGGGGGTATTGAAGATAGGAGGGTATAGGTGTTTGGCACTATAGGGTGGATGGGAAAGACGATTTGATTAATAAGGCAAATATCCTGAACCAACCTGTAAGATTTGTCCGGTTCCTGGATGGGTAGGATAGGGGAGTTGTAAGGAGAATTTGTAGGCTTTAAGAGGCCATGTTGTAACAGGTGGGTGATAACAGGCTCTAGTGGTAACAGTGATTAGGTTTTAACGGGATGGTAAGGGGTGCATGATCAGTCACCAGGGAGGGATAGAGGTATCCTATATTTGTGGATTAAGTCAGGGAGACACAAGGGGAAGATGGGAAGGTGGCTTAGAAGTGAGGAAAAGGGTGGCAATAAGGTGTGGCTCTAGCCCAGGAATAGTCAGGGAAGCAGATAGTTTTGTTAAAATGTCTAGACCTAATAAGGAAACTGGGCAGGTGAGGATAACTAAAAAGGAGTGCATAAAAGAATGTTGTCTGAGTTCACACGAGAGTTGGGGAGTTTTGAGAGGTGTAGAAGCCTGGCCATCAGTACCCACAACACTTATGGGGGCAAGGGAAATAGGTCCTTGAAAAGAAGGTAATGTGGAGTGGGTAGCCTCCACATTGATTAAGAAGGGGACGGACTTACCCTCCACTGTAAGAGTTACCCAGAGTGTCTGCGATGGTCCAGGAGGCTTCCAAGGCGATTAGGCAGCATCAGTCTTTAGCTGCTAAGCTGAGAAGATCTGGGAAGGAGTCAGAGAGCCTTGGGCCAGAGTTCCAGGAGCTCTGGGAGTGGCTGCCAGGTGAGTTGGACAGTCCAATTTCCAGTGGGGTCCCACACAGATGGGACACAGCTTAGCAGGAGTCCCAGGCTGTGGGCATTCCTCGGCCCAGTGGCCAGATTTCCAGTACTTGAAGCAAGATCCTGGGGGAGGAGGCCCTGGACGAATGCCGGGCTGCTGCAGTTTAGGCATTTTTAAATTTTGTGACCCAATGTAAGCAAAGCACTATCTGAGACAGGTCTCAATCAATTTACAGGTTTATTTTGTCAAATATATGGCTTATGGCCTGTGACACAGCCTTAGGAGGTCCTGCAAACATGTGCACAGGGTGGTTGGATTACACATTGATTTTATGCACTTTAGGAGACACAGAAATTACAGGCAAAGACATAAATCAATACACATAAAATATACATTAGTTTTTCCCGGAAAGGTAGGATATCATGAAGAAGGGGCTTCCAGGTCATAGGTGCAGTCAAAGCTTTCCTGACTGGCTCCTGGTTGAAAAAGTTAAACTCTGCCTAAAGAGTTGAATTCACCATAAAGAAATGCTTGAGTCTAGAAAACGGGGGGTTCTTGTCATGTAGATGAATCCTATGGGTGGCAAATAAAGTAGACGGTGAATGTTGCTTATCAGACCTTTAAAAAATGTCAGACTCTTCAGAAAAGACTTCGTAAGCGGAGGAGATTCTCTATAGAATGCAAATTTTCCCCACAACAGGCAGCTTTGCAGGGCCATTTTAGAATATGTCAAATAAATATTTTTAGGGTAAAATATTTTTATTTTCTCCAGGGCCTATTATCTGTCATGTTGGAGTATGGTATCTTGTTGCTAAAAACTATCTGTTTTGTCAGTCCAAAGATCTCTGTTGTAATGACAATGCTGGTTAGTTTGTCCTAGAAAGGTAGGATATCTTGAAGCAGGGGCTCCAGATCATACACGGATTCAAAGGTTTTCTGACTGGCCACTGGTTGAAAGAGTTAAGGTCTGCCTAAAGAGTTGAATTCATCATAAAGAAATACTTGAGTTTAGATAAGGGGGTGTGGAAGCCATGGTTCTTGTCATGTGGAAGAATCCTGTGGGTAGCAGACAAAGTAGATGGTGAATGGTGCCTATCAGACATTTTAAAAAAAAAAAAGTCAGACTCTCAGGAAAAGACTTAGTAAGGGGAGGAGATTCTCTCAAGAATGAAAATTTCCCTCACTACAGGCAACTTTGCAGGGCCACTTCAGAATACGATGAAGAAATATTTTTAGGGTAAAATATTCAGATTTTTCTCTGTCATGTTGGAGTATGGTATCTTACTGCTACAAAGCATCTGTTTGGTCAGGAGAGTACAATGAGGCACATCTATACCCATCTGTCATCATGGCCTAACTTAGTTTTTCAAATTTCTTTGAGGTACTCTCTGCCAAAAGTGGAGTCCATTCAGCTGGTTTGTGGCCTACAACTTAATTTTTGATTTTAACACACAGAAAAAAAAAAAATCACTGCAAAAATTCAATCTGAAATAGATTGGTAAAGAAAAATTAAGTGCTTCCTAAATATTCCTACATGTCAAAGAAAAAGAAATTATTAGAATTCAGATGAGAAATGCCCCTCATAAAAAAGATTAATGCTTTTTTTTTACTAGCTTAGTTTGGGTCCACCAGCAATGAGGATTCCTGTTTAGGCAGCAAATTTACACTAGGAGGAAAGGAAGAAAGTGAGAAAGGGGACAGAAGATGAATGGTAAAAGATACATCAACAACCCACCTGACTCAGGATAACTGAAGATCGACCACATGTGGAAACACGGACTAAATTCCTTTGGGCTGTTCCACCTGAGAGATGACGAAGCTGGGGTATGTGTGCACCTCATCATGTCCTCACTGATTGTGAGCTGTCTCTCTTGTTCTCTTTCAAGCTGATATAACAGGTTCCTTGTCACTGTGTAATTCATAAAGAACACAAATTTGTTTTCTCACACGACTGGAAAATGGGAAATTTAAGATCAAGGCATGGGCAGGTTAAGGTCTGTTTTCTTTGCTTTCAAGATGATGCCTGGAGTTTTGGGTCCTTCAAAAGAAGGAAGGCCATGTCTTAACATGACAGACGAGCAGGAGAGAGAGAGAGACAGAGAGAGAGAGAGAGAGAGAGAGAGAGAGAGAGAGAGAGAGAGAGAGAGAGAGGGATCCCAGCACTACAATGCCTGTTTATAGTGACATTAGTGTATTCCACTAGAGGGCTCTACCCTGACAACCTAAGCACATCCCAATAGGCCCCATATGGCATTACCTCTACACTGAGAATTAATTTTTCAACAGATGGATTCTGGAGGACACTCTGAAACCACAGAACTTGCCTAAGAGATACCCATTCCAGGCCATTTGGTTAGCAATGTATGCAGGCAGAATTCTCTGCCCAAGACTGTAAAGAACATAAGACATGTATATTGCCATTGGAAATGAGCAGAGGTACAGCAAAGGGAAAGCCGTAGACTACAGAGGGGGACTCCTACATTCATCCTGGTACAGTTAACCCTTGAATAACTTGGGTCTGAAATTTGCAGATCCACTTATATTTTCTCACATGTGAGCCACCTGTGAGCAAGCACTTAATAAGTAGTAAATATGTTTTCTCATTTTTATAGTTTTCTTAATAACATTTTTTCTTTAGCATGCTTTATTGGAATAATAGAGTATATGATATAAATAACTCTTAAAAAGTATTAATCAACTATTTATTTTATCACTAAGCCTAGCAGTCTAGCCTTTCTAACGTATGTTAGAAATGCAAAAGTTCTACACAGGTTTTCATCTGATGCACCAGTGCTCAGTGCCCCAACCTCCACGTTGTTCAGGGGTCAACGGCCCTTTCAGTCTGTAGCTGCATCTCTCTGGAACAGCATCTTGGCAGATGGGTTGCAAGTAAAGGAATCCGGAAAATAACATCTCAAACTATGCTGCATTGGTATGATGATTATGTAAAACCCACGTCATTTAGAAAGCAGCAAATGCACAAAAAGGCTTTTCCTAAATATCCCTTATCGGCCTAAAACCAAATTCTTCAGAAGGAAACCAATTCTCAAGAAAATTCTTCCTGAGAATTTTTGTATCAGGATATGTTTATGTTTAACACAAAACAGGAATCAAAAATAGAAGAGACTGGGAATTGATACATTATACAGGCAGGCTGTTACCTGTCCTTTTGAAGATGCATTCTATTCTCATCTATTCTCTCCAGGTTGCCAACACTTCCCAATTCCCTCTTCCCTAGAAGGGAAATATGAACAACTGGATCTCACTGAGTTATCTGGGAATCACCCTGCTATGACATCCTGCTGCATTTCAGATTAATTTTGTTTGCCTTTTCTCTTATTATTCTTCCTTTTGTCAGTTTATTTAGAGGACAAATGAAACTTCCTTCCTTTCTTGCAATATAACCAAGTCCCTTAAAATTCTGGTGGCTTACAAAGCAGCAGGAAGTTTTGTGCATGGGATTTGCAGGAAGGGAGGAAGCACTGTGATTTGGCTCACGAAGTCAGGCATCAGTAAAATTTTGCACAGCCCTAGGCTGCAGCCCACTGATGTTCATATAGTTAGATCCACTTCCCCTGCTACTGAGCCAGGTTGGGACATTTTTGGGTATATTAGAGATGTGCGATATAATGATTGCAAATCATTTCCAGTTTCATTTGGATCAAACTGCTTTCTCCATGTACATAGGCAATTGCTTGATAAGAGATTCAGTGTCTCTTTCCTAAAAATGTTAACAGGGTTGCTGGTGTCTGGGTCATGGTGATGTCCCAATCACTGATAAAAAGTAAAAGAAGAAAGTGGCATTGATGGTGCATGGCAGGGACATGCTCCGTGCAGTGACCACCCTCACTAAGAGAGATGAAATTTGGGAAATAACACTCAGTGGCAGAAAAGAAGGTAGACTATGAAGGTGCCCAAAACAAGAATAAGCTGCAGCCCATTTAGTCTCTGGGTATTAGAGAGACCTGCAGCTCTTGATAATGGTGGATCTGTGAGTGCTGCATGCATTGAGAAAACATGGTATCATCTCTGTGCTTCTGTAGTAAATTGCTTGATCTTATAGTGGTAAGAACAATGGCATAACACCATTACCTAATACTTACAAATATACATAGCATCATGTCAATACATTTTATTTTTAATTTTTTTATAAAGGAACAATGTTAAACTCACAGAAATGTTGCAAGTATAGGACAAAGTACACCCTTCCCTAACAAAAATCATTTGAGAGTCTTTTGAAGACCTGAGAATCATACCGTTTAACATTTTATTATGTATTTCCTACAAACAAGAATGTTCTCCTAAGTAATCCCCATACACCAATGAAATACATTACTCCATCGACTCCTGAGGAATATTTCAAACTGTCAAAAAAGAAAAACCTAAAAATTGTCTCTCATAACAAAATAGTCCCCAGTAGAAACACATTCTCTGCCAACAAATTTGTGCTACCCTGCTCTTACCTGGAACACCTGGGGACACTGAGCTGGTACTGAGTTACTCTGATGAGCCAGCCCTGCAGCTGTGCCCCGTCTGCCCCATCTTCTGCTCATTTGCATGTTCGCAGGGCACATCCTCCTGCCCTGAAGACTTCTTAATAGGCTGGTTACACTTCGTGCAGGAGTTAGACCCAGTCTGGACGCAGCATGGACATCAGGGTCCTCGCTCAGCTTCTCGGGCTCCTGCTGCTCTGGCTCCCAGGTAAGGAAGGGGAACATTAGGAATTTACTTGGCCCAGTGTGCTCAGTACAGCCTGGCTCTTCAGGGAACTTCTCTTACAATTGTGTGGATATTTGTTTTTCTGTTTCCAATCTCAGGTGCCAGATGTGACATTCAGTTGACCCAGTCTCCATCCTCCCTGTCTGCATCTGTAGGAGACAGAGTCACCATCACTTGTCGGGCAAGTCAGGGCATTAGCAGTTATTTAGCCTGGTATCAGCAGAAACCAGGGAAAGCCCCTAAGCTCCTGATCTATGATGCATCCAATTTGCAAAGTGGGGTCCCATCAAGGTTCAGCGGCAGTGGATCTGGGACAGATTTCACTCTCACCATCAGCAGCCTGCAGCCTGAAGATTTTGCAGTTTATTACTGTCAACAGCGTAATAGTTACCCTCCCACAGTGTTACACACCCAAACATAAACCCCCAGGGAAGCAGATGTGTGAGGCTGGGCTGCCCCAGCTGCTCCTCCTGATGCCTCCATGGGCTGAGAGGGTTCCTCAGATGCAGCCACACTCTGATGGTGTTGGTAGAGGGGGACATGAAGTCACCTCTGCATCCCAATTTCTTTTTCTTTTCTCAGCCCCAGCTGCACAGACATAGCAATGCCTCTGCTGATTTAATAAATACAGAGATCATGACACCTGAGGAGTCTAGTTTATGGCTTCAGTTGGAACTCATATAACAGAGAAGAAGCCACTATAGATATTCTAAGCATGAAATGTCTTAATACAGAGAATTAGAGTCTAAACTACTGAAGTCTAAATAAAATAGAGAGATGAGCGACAAAGCAAGACTCTGTCTCAACAAAAAATAAATAAAATAAAATAAAAAAATAAAATAAAATAGAGAGATGAATCTCTAAATTTAATGTTTACTTGCAAAGAAGTATTTGCCAAATGAGACATACAGGAAAACTCAATGGTCTTCAATATGTTGGAAGAACAAAGAGAAGTAAGCATTTTATGGAAAAGGGAAAATGTTACCTATGACTCTTTGAGAAAGTTCATTGGCACTAGCAAGGGTTGGGAGCTGGCAAGCTCAGGCTGGTCAGCAGTGGTGGACAAAGTGAATCCTAGAATTATGTCAAGTTATCTCAGAAGTTGTGGATCAATTTGATTTCAGGTTACAATGAGCCAAAGCAGTGAAGCTTGCAGAGAATTTTGTTACTGAAATACCAGGGATTCAGTGAAGATCCTGCTGCTCACCACACAGAAAGCCGATCACTAAGACAACAAGCATTGGCAAGGAACAGGTGTTAATCAGGTGCTGCAGCCAAGGAGATGGGGCACCATTTGCAAATGTATCTCCCTGAACTACTAAAATTAGGGGTTTATATAGCAGGGAAGAAACGTGGGAAAATAGGAATGAGGGGATAAGGAAAATAATTTGATCAACAGGAAGCAGGAGGTCAGTTAGGCAATCATAGTGGGCAAAGGGTCTGATGTCTCACTCTTCCAATTCAGTGATATGTAACTTTCAGGTCCTTGATAGTATCTAGAGGCCTGATGGTTGGTTTCCTGAAAAAAGAACTCAGATTAACAAATGTAACTATTTTGAGTTTTAAGACTGGGGGAGTCAGTTTCTATGTTTATTCAAAAAAACATAAACATTAGATCCATGGGATAATAGGGCCTATTTCAACTGAGTTCTAGCAACAGTATTTTGCACGCTGAGTGCCTTTCCCTCCTGGTTTCTTGGTTCTGTTGGGCATGACAAGAATTACTGAATTCCTATGATTAACTTTTACACTACAACCTTTCAAAGCCAAGGATATAGTAGTCAGGAAAGTTGATAGTAGAAGCAGGATTCTCTAGTACTCCCTCGGAAAATAGAATTCATCTGTCCCTGAAGTATGGACTATCTAACCATGTGGTTCTCAGTCCTGTCTGAAGGCTTAACGGTGGGGTGCTGCTGCTCTCCACTTCCTACAGCATCTTTCTAGGTTTTTCTCCAAGCACAAGTGTTGACAAGGAAGAAGATGGTGGGAATCGCCATGTTTGGGTGAATTCAGTTTCTAATGGCTGGCATTTGCATAGGAAAGCTTCCAAGCCTGGCTCTAAGAGCCAGGGCTTTCCTGCTAGACAAGAAGCTTTTCTAGAGCTGCTCTAAAAGAAACAAAACCTTCCCAAGGACCCCCTTTCCTCTCTCGTTGCCTAAAATAATTTCTTAATAGCTCCTATAACACTTGGGTTCCAGAGACAAGGACATGGACATCTTTTGGAGTGGAACATTATTGATTCCACCAAGAAGAAACATATTCCCCAGGGTTGTCCTTCTCTAAAGTAAAATTTAAAAAATCACGAAGTATTTTTATGAATCAAGAGAGCTGGACAAAATCTCAGACTCGGGTTCCTCTAACTTGTGATTTTTATCTGTCGGAGTGTGCTCACTCACTCCAATGTCACTAATGTAGATTAATATATTGATGTGTAGGTAGTTTTAGAGGATTTTCAAAGTTTGTGACCCAGTATAAACAAAACAGTATCTGAGCCAGGTCTCAATCAATTTACAGAGCTATCTTGCCAAAAATATGACTTATGTCCTGTGACACAGCCTTAGGAAGTCCTGTAAATATGTGCCCAAGGTGGTTGGATTTACAGGACTTAGGAAGTCCTGTAAATATGTGCCCAAGTGCACATTGGTTTTATGCACTTTAGGGAGACACAGAAATTACAGGCAAAGACATAAATCAATACATATCAGATATACATTAGTTTGTCCTGGAAAGGTCGGAAAGCTTCAAGCAGGGGCTTCCAGGTCATAGGTGGATTCAAAGCTTTCCTGCTGGCTACTGGTTGAAAGAGTTAAGCTCTGTCTCAAGAGTTGAATTCATCATAAAGAAATGCTTGAGTCTAGAAAATGGGGTGTGGAAGCAAAGGTTCTTGTCACATAGATGAATCCTATGGGTAGCAAATAAAGTAGATGGTGAATGTTGCTTATCAGACCTTTAAAAAATGTCAGACTCTTTAAAAAAGACTTAGTAACGGGAGGAGATTCTCTATAGAATGCAAATTTCCCCCACAACAGGCAGCTTTGCAGGGCCACTTCCGAATAGGTCAAAGAAATACTTTTGGGGTAAAATATTTAGATTTTCTTCAGGGCCTATTATCTGTCATATTGGAGTATGGTATCTTATTGTTACAAAGTATCTGTTTTATCAGTCCAAAGATCTCAGCTGTAGTGATAATGCTGGTCAGTTTTGTCTGAACCCCAAAGGGAGGAGAGCATAATGAGGCACATCTAAATCCAACTGCCAGTCATGGCCTAACCTAGTTTTTCAGATTTCTTTGAAGTTCTCTCTGCCAAGAGAGGAGTCCATTCAGCTGGTTGGTGGCTTAAAACTTAACTTTTGGTTTTAATACCCAGAAAAAAAAAATCATTGCATAAATTCAATCTAGAATAGATTGGTAAAGACAAATTGTTTCCTGAATATTCTTACATGTCAAAGATAAAGAAATGATAAGACTTGAGATGATTAATACCCCTCATACAAAAGAATAACATTTTTTTTTTTTTTTTTTTTTTTTTTACTATCTTAGTTTCAGTCCACCAGCAATGATGATTCCCATTTAAGCAGCAAATTTACACTGGAAGGAAAGGAGGAAAGTGAGGAAGGGAACAGAAGATGAATGGTAAAAGACACATCAACAACCCACCTGACTCAGGATAACTGAAGATCAACCACATGTGGAAACATGGACTAAATTCCTCTGGGCTGTTCCACCTGGGAGACTAGGAAGCTGGGGTATGTATACCCTCATCCTGTCCTCACTGATTGTCAGGTGTCTCTCTTGTTCTATTTCAAGCTGCTATGACAGATTCCTTGTCACTGTGCAATTCATAAAGAACAGAAATTTATTTTCTCACACTTCTGGAGAATGAGAAATTTAAGATCAAGGCATGGGCAGGTTAAGGTCTGCTTTGTCCATTTTCAAGATGAGTCCAGGAGTTTTGGGTCCTTCAAAGGAAGGAAGGCCATAGTTTATCATGACAGAGGAACAGAAGAAAGAGAGAGAGAGAGAGAAAGAGAGAGAGAGAGAGAGAGAGAGAGATCCCAGCCTTTTAATCCCTGTTTATAGTGGCATTAATGTATTCCACTAGAGGGCTCCACCCTGACGACCTAAACACATCCCAATAGGCCCCGCATGGCAATACCATTATACTGAGAATTAACTTTACAACAGATGGATTCTGGAGGACAGTGTCAAATCATAGCACTTTCTAAGGGATATACATTCCAGGCCGTTTGGCCAGCAATGCATGCAGGCAGAGTTCTCTGCCCAAGACCGTAAAGAACATAAGACATGTATACTGCCATTCTAAGTGAGCAGAGGTACAGCAAAGTGGAAAGCCCTAGACTACAGATGGGGACTGCTACATTCATCCTGGCCCAGTTAACCCTTGAATAAATTGGGTTTGAAATTTGCAGATCCACTTATATTTTCTTCTGTGTGTGTCACCTGTGAGCAAGCAATTAATAAGTTGCAAATATATTTTCTCATTTTTATAGTTTTGTTAGTAACATTTTTTTCTTTAGCATGCTTTATTGGAATAATAGAGTATATCATATAAATAACTTAAACACAGTGTTAATCAACTATTTATTTTATCACTAAGGCTGGCAGTCAAAAGTAAACTATTAGTACTTAAGTTAGAAATGCAAAAGTTCTACACAGGTTTTCAACTGCACCAGTGCTCAGTGCCCCAACCTCCACATTGTTCAGGGGTCAACAGCTCTTTCAGTCTGTAGCTGCATCTCTCTGGAACAGCATCTTGGCAGGTGGGTTGTAAGTAAAGGAATCCGGGAAATAACATCTCAAACTATGCTGCATTTGTATGATGATATGTAAAACCCACAGTATTTAGAAAGCAGCAAATGCACAAAAAGGCTTTTCCTAAATATCCCTTATCTGCCTAAAAGCAGATTCTCCAGAAGGAAACCAATTGTCAAGAAAATTCTTCCTGAGAATTTTTATATCAGGGAAGATTAACACAAAACAGGAATCAAAAATAGAAGAGACTGGGAATTGATACTTTATCCAGGCAGGCTGTTACCTGTTCTTTTGAAGATGCACTTCTATTCTCATCTATTCTCTCTAGGTTGCCTGCACTTCCCAATTCCCTCTTCCCTAGAAAGAAAATAAAATCAACTGGATCT